TTTATCTCTTCCAAGTCATTCCCGGTAATCACCATATCATCCACATAAACAATGAGTGCCGTAAGTTTGCTATCCTGTCTCCTTGTAAACAAGGTATGATCTGCACCACTCTGAGTGTACCCCACTTTCTTCATGGCCATACAAAGTCTCTCGAACCATGCCCGGGGAGACTGCTTCAAACCATATAATGCTTTCCTTAGTTTACACACCTTTTTGCCAACATTATAGCCTGGTGGAGGTTCCATGAACACCTCTTCATGAAGATCACCATTTAGGGAGGCATTTTTCACATCCAACTGATGAAGTTCCCATGAGAAATTTGCTGGTAGTGACAATAGAACTCGGATTGTGTTGAGGTTTGCTACTGGGGCAAAGGTTTCTTTGTAGTAAATTCCTCCTTTTTGAGTAAATCTCTTTGCCACAAGTCTGGCCTTGTACCTCTCGATTGACCCATCCTCCCCGTGCTTTATTGTAAATACTCACTTGCACCCAACAGTGCCCTTCCCCTCTGGCAGGTCCACTAATTCCCAAGTTCTTGCTTTCATTAGGGGCTTTCATCTCTTCATTCATAGCTTCTTTCCACCTTGGATCAGATGTTGCCTCTGAGTACTTAGAAGGAACACGTATAGAGGAAAAAGCAGACACAAAGGAGTGATAGGCAGGAGATAAATGTGAGTAAGAAACAAAATCAGCTATGGGATGCCAGGTGGTACAAGAACGGACAGGCTTACGAAGAGCAATAGGAAGATCCAAATCTGAAGTATGTGAGTCAGAATTACCTTGAATTGCAGAGACAAATTGATCTGAGTCCAACTGGTTGCAGTCATGAGGCTGAGAGCCCTTTTTCCTTCTGTTGTATGTAAGTATCTCCTTCTGTTGCTTACTGGAATCTTTAGGAGCATCTGCTGCATCAGGAGGAGTAACTGGCACATTTGGAGCCTTACTAGGTTGACCCGGAATGTCACAGCTAGGAGTAGTGGAAGGTGATGGAAGACCTAAGTCAGATAGGGGAATAAAAAAGGAGGGAGAATGAGAATCCTCTTCCAATCCACTAGTCTCCCCCTGAAGAGGATTCTGAGAAGACTGGAAATAGGGTTGAGACTCAAAAAGGACTACATCTCTAGTGACATACTTTTTCTTGGAGACAGGATCATAACACTTTTACCCCTTTTGTGTAGGAGAGTACCCAAAAAATATTCCCTTTGTAGCCTTGGGATCCAGCTTGGTTTTCTTTGGATCCTTCACATGTATGAAACATATACAACCAAAAACCCGTGGGGGAAGAGGAAATTCTGGAAGAGTGGGACACAAAACAGAGAAGGGRGTCTTCATACYCAATACCTTAGATKGCATCYGATTTATCAGGTATGATGCAGTGAGTACAGCTTGAGACCAGTATTGCTTGGGCACTTTGTGCTGAAATAGTAGGGCTCGAGCTGTCTCCAATAGATGTCTGTTCTTGCGCTTAGCAACTCCATTTTGCTGAGGGGTGTTAGCGCAGGATGATTGGTGTAACATGCTAGCATCTTCCATGAATGAGTTCAGGGATTTTTCAAAGTATGCAGCAGCATTGTCTGATCGGAATTGTTTAATCTTCTTATCAAATTGTGTTTCAATCATCTTGCAAAAAGCCATAGTTATCCGTGGTATTTCATCTCGTCCTTTTAACAGATAAATCCATGTGCACCGAGAATAATGGTCAMTAAAAYTRATAAAGTARYGGAAGCCATCAATGGAAACAATGGGTGAAGGTCCCCAAACATCAGAATGAACCAAATCAAAAGGAGCTCGAATTTCATTACTGGAAATTGGATACACTGTTCTACATTATTTTGACATTTGACACACATCACAAATTAAACTCTGACTTGGAATGCCCTTGAACAATTCGGGAAACAACATTGCTAATGAAGAAAAAGACACATGACCTAGCCTAGCATGCCACAGGTGCTGCCTAACTATTGACTCTACACTTTCCGGACTAGTAGCAACAGAAGCTTGTAGGGCTGAGCCGATGTCTGCATCAAAATAGTAGAGGCCTCCATACTCATGACCACTCCCAATCGTTCTCCTCGTCAATCTGTCTTAGAAGACACAATGAGTAGGGAAAAAAGTTATACTGCAGTTCAAATTTTTTGTAAGCTTTGAAACAAACAAAAGATTTGAGGTAAGAGTAGGAACATGTAGGACTGATTTAAGAGAGAGGTCTTTGCATAGGTCAACCACCCCCTTTCCAGAGATGGTGGAGAAAGACCCATCAACCACTCTCATCTTATCCTGGCCAGACAATAAATGATATGAAGAGAATAAGGAGGACATATGTGTCATATGGTCAGTTGCTCCGGAATCAATCACCCAAGAAGTGGAATCAATGGAGCTAGTTACACTAAAGGTAGAGACTGTACCTGATCTGGCAAGAGAGGTGGAAGCAAAAGAATTGTTTTTTAGACGGGCTAATGCCCGGCTGAGAACCTTTACCTCACTAGCCATGAAGCCCAAAGTACCAGTTCCAGAGGAGTCAGCAACCTACCCTATGGAGGAAGAAGACACTGTTGGAGTACTTTGTGAGTTGTCACCACTGTTGTTGTTGGTGGCAAGATTCCCACTTGCCGTATGACTCTTATGTTGTCTCTTGTCCTTTCTCAATGCAGTTGGCTTCAGATGAGGATACATGATCCAACATTTTTCTTTTGTATGTTTCTCACCACCACAGTGGGTGCACTTGAGGGACTTCTTGTTTGGATATCTGTTTCCCTTAGTGGAGACTAGGGCTGAATGTTCTGCAGATAGTTCAGTTGACTTTGTATGTGAAGAAAACTGAAGAGAGTAGACCTTGAGAGTTTGGCAATGAGGGTTTGAGAGTGAGAGTTTCGAACCATCCACTCTCTCAGCACCCTAACACTATTTTATTAAGATAGATTTGAATAATTACAAGGAGGCCCTTAGTTGGGCAAGAAWTTACAAAGAACATAATATAGACAGGATGGGCCCAGAATAAGGCCCATTACAGAAAAACATAAATAATAAGAAAAGAATAAACAGCCTATGGGCCATTCGGCCCATCTT